GTTATGGCACCCTTTATTTATTTAAAAGATTATAAGAATTGTAACTTCAATTCCGATTTACTTTGTACCCTGACAAATAAATTTCCCCAAAACAAGATTCATTTTAAAATATTAATCTGAAAGAAAAATCAAGACAAAAACATTAATTCTAGATCAAACAAAAGGGCACTTACAAAGTCCCTATAAAAAATAAATTTAATTACAAAATCTAAGTTACCTGCTTATTTGGATCATCAAGAACCTCCTCTTTTGATGAATTTAATTTCCCCGCCATTTTATCCTTCGTTAAATTTGTTTTTCCCGCCATTTTATCTGAAACGAAGAAATTTCGTGAGGCCTGTACACAACGCGTTGACCTGAGGAGGATGGGTCAAGAGTGAACATGAAGGTGTGTTTAACCGATCTTCTGGGCGAGCTCCCTAGCCTTCAACTTCTCGATCTTGGCAACCTAAAGTAGGAACAGAATTAGAATTTGTATCTTAGGATTTTACTATCCAAGTTTCCCATCAGGGTTGCTCTCAGATTAAGGTATTACGGGTGACGTTATGAATACAGAATTTAGTCGTATGTCCAGGTCCCTTCCAAGATCGAAAGTTTTTGAGTAGATTTTTTTAGCAATTGACAGCGTTAATTCGTAGTACTTGTTTCTCTAAATAAAACATATTAAAAGATGTTTTTGTAACTTAAAGATTCCACTATGTTGAGTTAATTTCGAATTTTTAGGGAACACTTAAAAAGCTATTTTTTTAATTAAACGGCAAACTATAAAAAAAATGTAACTTTACCTTGGCGGCAGATTTGCTTCCAAGAGAACCACCTCCCCAGTGTTTCCTGATCTCCTCTCCTCTCTCGTTGAAGTTGGTCTTCACCTGGAAATACATTTATTCAGAGGTAGAAACTTCAGTTTGATAAAGGACACATATATTCAGAGGTAAAAACTTCAGTTTGATAAGGGACACATTTATTCAGATGTAGAAACTTCAGTTTGATAAGGGACACACGCATATTCAGAGGTTGAAACTTCAGTTTGATAAAGGACACATATATTCAGAGGTAAAAACTTCAGTTTGATAAGGGACACATTTATTCAGAGGTAGAAACTTCAGTTTGATAAGGGACACACATATTCAGAGGTTGAAACTTCAGTTTGATAAGGGACACATATATTCAGAGGTAGAAACTTCAGTTTGATATAGGACACATATATTCAGAGGTAGAAACTTCAGTTTGATATAGGACACATATATTCAGAGGTAGAGACTTCAGTTTGATATAGGACACATATATTCAGAGGTAGAAACTTCAGTCTATATAGGACACATATATTCAGAGGTAGAAACTTCAGTTTGATAAGGGACACGCATATTCAGAGGTAGAAACTTCAGTTTGATAAGGGACACATATATTCAGAGTTAGAAACTTCAGTTTGATAAGGGACACACATATTCAGAGGTAGAGACTTCAGTTTGATAAGGGACACATATATTCAGAGGTAGAAACTTCAATTTGATAAGGGGAAACGCATATTCAGAGGTAGAAACTTCGATAAGGGACACATAGATTCAGAGGTAGAAACTTCTGTAGATAGGGGAACACGCATATTCAGAGGTAGAAACTTCAGTTTGATAAGGGACACATATATTCAGAGGTAGAAACTACAGTTTGATAAGGGACACACATATTCAGAGGATGAAACTACAGTTTGATAAAGGACACATACATTCAGAGGTTGAAACTTCAGTTTGATAAGGGACATATTTATTCGGAGGTTAAGATTTTTGTTCGATTTAGGGGCACATTTATTCTTAGGATTAAACTTTTGGTTGTTGGACCGATTAACAATGACAAAACTTAAACTTTCCTTCACTGTCATTTCCCCTAATTTCATTTTTGTAAAAATTTTTTAAGAAACATTTTCTTGGTTTAAATAGTGTATAGCACATATTTAACTAAATGAGACATATTTAAGAAAATATTTCTTTTTTAAACATTTATCATTAAATGCCCTTAACAGCTCCAAAAATGAAAAGCGGGTATTGTATACTAGTTAAAAATAAAAAAATTGTTAAGCGAATCACTCCCTGTAAATAAAACTATTACCGTCTCGACGAGCTTGCTGAGGGTTCCTCTATCAGCAGACTCAACATTGGTGATAGCAAGAGCCGTGCAGGTCTTCCTCCTGAATATTACATTAGATTGGGATATATTACAGTAGGTTGGGATATATTGCAGTAGGTTGGGATATATTGCAGTAGGTTGGGATATATTGCGGTAGGTTGGGATATATTGCAGTAGGTTGGGATATATTGCAGTAGGTTGAGATATATTGCAGTAGGTTGGGATATATTGCAAAGGTTGGGATATATTGCATAGGTTGGGATATATTGCATAGGTTGGGATATATTGCATTAGGTTGGGATATATTGCATAGGTTGGGATATATTGCAGTAGGTTGGGATATATTGCATTAGGTAGGGATATATTGCATTAGGTTGGGATATATTGCAGTAGGTTGGGATATATTGCATAGGTTAAGTATATTGCATTAGGTTGGGGTGTATTGCATTAGACTGGGATATACATCGGAGGGTTGGGTTATACAGCAGTAGGTTGTTAAATATTGCAGTGGGTTGGGATATATTGCAGTAGGTTGAGATATATTGTAGTAGGTTGGGATATATTGCATTAGACTGGGAAATATTGCATTAGGTTGGGATATATTGCAGTAGGTGGGGATAAATTGCAGTAGGTTGGGATATAATGCATTAGGTTGGGATATATTGCATTAGGTTGGGATATATTGCTTTAGGTTGGGATATATTGCAGTAGATTAGGATATATTGCAGTAGATTGAGATATATTGCAGTAGGTTGGGATATATTGCAGAAGGTTAGGATATTTTATTGCAGTAGGTTGGGATATATTGCAGTAGGTTGGGATATATTGCAGTAGGTTGGGATATATTGCATTAGGTTGGGATATATTGCATTAGGTTGGGATATATTGCATTAGGTTGGAATATATTAAAGTAGGTTGGGATATATTGCAGTAGGTTGGGATATATTGCAGTAGGTTGGGATATATTGCATTAGGTTGGGATATATTGCATTAGGTTGGAATATATTAAAGTAGGTTGGGATATATTGCATTAGGTTGGGATATATTGCATTAGGTTGGGATATATTGCATTGGGTTGGGATATATTGCATTAGGTTGGGATATATTGCAGTAGGTTGGGATATATTGCATTAGGTTGGGAAATCTTGCATTAGGTTGGGAAATCTTGCATTAGGTCGGGATATATTACAGAAAGCTGGAATATATTGCATTAGGTTGGGATGTATTGCATTAGTTTGGGATATATTTCATTAGGTTGGGATGTATTGCATTAGGTTGGGATATATTGCATTAGATTGGGATGTATTGCATTAGATTGGGATATAATTCATTAGGTTGGGATGTATTGCATTAGGTTGGGATATATTGCATTAGGTTGGGATGTATTGCATTAGATTGGGATATACAGCAGAAGGTTGGGATATTTTGTAGTAGGTTAGGATAGACATCAGTAGGTTGGGATATATATAAGTAGGTTGGGATATATTGCAGTAGGTTGGGATATATTACAGTAGGTTAGGATTTGTTGCAAGGATATTATGCAGTACGCCACAAAGACATTGCAAAAAGTAGATAAAGAAAGGATTTCCCAGAAATATTCATTAATTACCTGGATACGCGTCCAAGCCTGGCCTTGTTCTTGACAATGCAGTAAGGGACTCCCATCTTCCTGCAGAGTGCGGGAAGGAAGAGAACCAACTAAATAGAACCGGTGTAAACAAAAAGTTTAGTTTTGTTCTTAATCTTTGTGACAGGAACAATCAAGAACGAGGGTCAGCCCAGGCCGAAATATATTTTCAATATAAGTGGAACTAACATCTACCTTTTTTTACTATACAGAGGTTTGGTCCATTATTATCACCGAATTTTAAGTTTAGAAATAGAGAAATAGTTAAATGATATTTTAAACCATTTAACATGTTGAGAGAGAAAATTTTAAAATTATACTTTCTAAGAGACAGTCAAATAGAAAATTCACACTTAATAAATTCAACAAATCTAAATGTTAATTTGGCTTGTCTGGCTGTTTGTATCCAATAAACGTCAAAACGGTAGAACCGACCAGGCCCAAATTTTGTGTGGGACCTCACGTGGCCCCAGGGAAGGTTTATGAATGATCAAAATTTTTAAAATTTGTATATTTTCTATTTTTGTAAAATCTTGGATATGCGCGAAAAAATATTATGAAATCCGCAAACATTTTCGCGTTTGTTTGTTTATATTACTGTACAAATGCTCAGAGAAAAACAACCTGGACATTTTAAAATAAAAGCATAAATCATATAAAATTTTATTCAAATATGATATCTGTTGTAATACTGTGCTTGATCCGAAATATGTATTATTATTATTACAAACAAAATACATGAACATTGCCTTAAAACTTAAACATTTTTACCTCAATGGGGTCAACATCGTTGGCAATGATAACAAGCTGAGCTTTCTTCTTCTCAACTGAAATAAGTTAAAATAATTATTAATTGATCATTATTTTTAACTTTTGATAATTGTTGAGGAATACTTAATTTTTAACAGGACCAAAAACCGAATTTAAATTTGCAAGGAAGCTTACTTCAAAAATGGATCATCAATTCAAAGATTAAGATTCAGGATCATCAGGAAGGATTAGAATCGATGATAAAAATTATAATCGATGGTTGGTAATCAAACGACGGAGCTCAAATTCTTGATATTCAGTCCCTGAGCTTCATTAAGTGAAAAAAAATTTATGTTTTATATCTTCCATCAAAATAAACTCATAAAAATGTCGTCATTATTTCGCATAATTTAGTTGTTTTACTGTCCTTCGCTATTTAATAAAAAAGTATTAGGCCAGAAAGAGAAAAACCGGATCCGGATCCATTTTATCATTTCGGATCAAAGATCCAAATGCGGATCAAAGCTGGTGTTAATATATACCGAGAGTGGTGACGGTGTTGATTCCCTGTCTGATGACTGGGGCACGCTTGGTGGGTGCATCCTCCTATAAAACGCATTATAAAGATAGAACTGCTGAGCACATTGAGGTATATAATATGAATTTAATCTCCCCCACCCTTCCAAAAAAACAGCACGTACACATCCCACAGTATTTGATAGTCAATGGGTCTAAAACGAATTAGGAAGAATTGAACGAGGCTAGAAATACAAAGTTCTTGCAGAAAATGCTAGGATTATGCCTTTATTTAAGGGTTAAAGCTTGGAGATAATCTAATATGATAGGGGAAGCTCTGTATGTTAGGGGAAAAAAAGTATTCATCTGAGAATGTAACATTCCTGAGTTATAAATAAATACCAAGAGAAGACTCTGAAATCAGACATAATAAAGTTTTATCTTTAACAAACTGTTAAAAAAAAAAAAAATTAACAATTTTTTAACCTTCCCCTAAACGGCGAAATAAAAAAAATACATTTCAATATACTAAAAATCCAAAAAATTCGAGGGAGGGCGTGGACTCGTTCCTAAAAAAAATAACTGATGCTGAATAAACAAACCTTGCCGGCAGCCTTGGCCTCTGCTCTCTCCTTCAGCCTCTGCTTCTTGGCCTGCTTGTCCTCGGGCCTATACTTGTCCATCAGCTTGAACAGCTGGGTAGCTAAACAAAAAAAATTGAGACTACATTTAATATCTGGAAAGGCCAAAATACAAGGATATTAGAATCCAAAATAGAGTGTTTAATTTTGTAAATTACAAAAGAATGTTTTCATTATTTTATGCTTTTTCATTTAATTAAATTAACTTCCCCAATTAAAAGAATGAAACTGATAACAAATCTAGGGAACAAAAAAATTATTGTAAAATATCATATGAGACATCATCTCTACATATATGAATTTGTAATCCTGTTTTGTCTATTAGTTTGTCCGATCAAAACTCAGGACACCTGGACCGATTTGCCTCAAATTTTGATTGGGGTACTCGGGAAACCCACGGAATTGTTCTTAGCTTTATTAAGACTTAAATAGTGAAATTTCAGTTTCCCGGTTAAATCGTTTAAGTCCGGGTAAACGCCGGGAGCAACTTTTGAGTAATCTGGGTAGCATTGGGTTCCCAAGTTAGAATCGAATAATGATGTTTGATCTGTAGGAAAGAGATCAACTGTTTTTCTAAATCCACAGAACGAATAATTTTCCCACAAGAAAAAATTTAGGTTTCTCGAGCATTACGTGATCTTTGAAGCTAAGAGATAATCCAATACAATATAGGACGCTGTGCAAGAGATCTCAGACATGTTGAGGTCCTACCTGTCTGTTTGTCCAGAGTCTGATAGAACTGGTTGACTGGGGGAGGGATCTTCAGCCTTGTATGGAGAACGGCCTTCTGCCTTTGCAGACGAATGTACTT